AAAATGGACCGCACAGGGGCCTTGTGCGGCTCCCCCCCCATGGCCCATTTTGGCCAGCAGAGTGCTGCAGGAGACCGAAAATGGACCGCACAGGGGCCTTGTGCGGCTCCCCCCCCATGGCCCATTTTGGCCAGCAGAGTGCTGCAGGAGACCGAAAATGGACCGCACAGGGGCCTTGTGCGGCTCCCCCCCCATGGCCCATTTTGGCCAGCAGAGGCACCACGGGCCGGTCATTTGATATTTCCAGGCCTGCCCTCCAGGCCAGATCCTAGCAGCCTGTGGGCCTTGAGTTTGACCCCACCCTGGTTTAAGTCATTGTTGTCCCAAAGATGCTTTTTCCAAAGGGCAACTGGACGTTGTTTTTCCATGAAGATGTTTCGCTTCTCATCTAAGAAGCTTCTATTCCCTTCCAACTGTTATTCTATTCTATTCCATTCCATTCTGAAGAAGCTTCTTGAATGAGAAGTGAAATGTCTTCAAGGAAAAGTGAAAAGTCCATCTGCCTTTTGAAAAAGCACCTTTGGGATCCTTTTGTCAAGGCATTATGGCTGAGCATCCCTCAAGACTCCATTCCTATCAACTACCAAAAGCCATTTTATGACCTCTTTTGCATCTGCAGCTTGTATCTCTATCCAATGAGCTACACATTGTTGCTTAGTAGTAACCTCTGGCCTCCTTTTGATGCAGGCAAGACACAACTTCAATGTGGTGCAGTATTAGAAACATTCAGGGTTATTTTACAATAAAGTCACACCACCCCTAAACAAGGGCCAAGGCTCTTCAACAGGTTTCTGAGTTTGGAGGACAAAAAGGGAACTTTAGGAGGATGGTAGTTTCTCCTTTGCTTGTTAAATGAGGACAGTTTAATTTCTGGATCACAGGCCTTAAATGAGTGGGATTGAAAATGTCCCACTCTGTGGTCTGGTGCACTACCATTTTTTTCTCCTTGAGAACAGAAAGGTGTTTTTTTCCCCTAGTAGAACTTGAGTGAGTCCATCTTCAATTAACCTTAGTCCCTAACTAAAATATAGAGGCCCCCACAAAGGATACTGAATGCCTCCTTCCCTCCCTCCGAACAGAGGACTGTTTTGTTGGGAGAATATATAGAAAGGTCCCTAACAGACAACGGCATCATCATTATACAAACAAATGGCAAAGCCAGATTTTACACAGTTAAAACTGACTGGGGTTTATTTCTGTGCTAACTCCTTGCACCGTGCAAAGACAGCAGCTGCCTGATTTATGGGCCCTTCCAGCATAGGGGTTTCAATGGCCACAGACTTTTCAAAGGAAGCCAAAGAAAAGGAGAATTCCCAGGAGCTTCGGGCTGAACTCATCTAACATGCGGAGGGTTTGAAATCCTGCACTGGGATGGGGACATTTATGCATGAATGGAAGTCACTCTCTGGCCATTAGGAAGACTTGGATGAAAATCACACAAAGGGCGTTTCCCCCCTCAGTGAACGGAACAAAATTCCCATTTACCATGAAAGAAAGTGAAAGATCTGGCATTCCTGAGAGCTTGACGCAAGCATCGATGACACCTTGGATTTCTGCAAAGACCGTGGACCCTGTAGAAAGAAAGGAGATATTATTTATTCTAGTGCTTCAGATGCTGGCCTGGAAACCACAAGACAGTGAGTTAAACAACTTAGATGAGGGAATAGAAGAGGAACTTACCAAATTTGTGGAATAGCTAACACTCCAGAAGATAGGCTCAAGATCCAGATGGATCTTGACAGACTTGAAGACTGGGCCCTATCTAACAAAATGAAATTCAATGTAGAGAAAAGTAAAGTCTTACACTTAGGCAAGAAAAACCAAAAGTACAGATATGGGCTGGGTGAAACCGGGCATAAAAGCAGAAACTGTAAGAGGGAACTTGGAGTCTTAGTGGACAACCAGTTAAATATGAGCCAGGAGTGTG